CTCTCCAGGAACACCAGGTTGTTTTCAGAAAGAACGTGGACAGTAGAAGTCAGGAGACTTAAGTTCCAGACCAAGACTTGCCTTTTAATAGGCCTGCAGCGGCCCGGCGGACACCAAAGAGTCAAATCTCATATACTGTTCCAACTTGTTTTCCTCCTTTCCCCTGAAACTGGCCAGGGTCTACTTGTTCTGGTTTGTCTTGTACTTCTCAAAACACGCAGCCTGTTCTCTCTGGTTGTTTTATTATATGTGGGAATGATTTTGTTTGCACTTTTGCTGTAAGAGCCTGCCAATTCTTTTTTTCTTTTTTTTTTTTTTAAGATTTATCTATTTAGGGCCTCCCCTGGTGGTGCAGCGGTTGAGCGCTGGGCTGCGAAGCTGCCCGCAGACTCTGCAGCACCGGTTCGATCCCCAGCCGCCGGCGAGGGTCCCACATGGCGCGACGGACCTCTCCTGGCGTCCGCTGCTCCCCTCAGCAGTGTGTTTCAGTCAGTCTGACTGTTCTGTTCCCCACTCTGGCTCTGGTAAATTCTCTCACCTTAATGCGCTTTTGACTATACCCAGTGTTTGTAATAAATAAATAATTAATTCTTTAAAAAAAAAAAAAAATTATCTATTTATACAAGAAATGGGGTACAGGTCAGAGGTGTGGGAGAGTGAAAGAATTCACCAGAGAGAGCGGGGAGCAGAACAGGCAAATGGACTGAAGACATTGCTGAGGGGAGCAGCGGGCGAGGCAGGAGAGGTCTGCTGCGCCATGTGGGTATCTCCCTGGCCGGGCGGGAATCAAACTGGCGCTGCAGAGGCTGCAGAGAGCTTCACAGCACGGCGCTCAACCTGCTGCGCCACCAGGGAGGCCCTCTGTTTTTTTTTAAGATTTATTTATATACGCACACAAGAGTTGGTACAGGCCAGAGGTGCGGGGGCATGTGTGTGTCTGTGTGTGTGTGTGTGTGAGGATTAGCCAGAGACAGATTGGGCAGCAGAACAGGCAGATGACTGAAATACACAGCTGAGGGGAGCAGCGGGCGAGACAGGAGAGGTCTGCTGTGCCATGTGGGTTGCTCCCTTGTGCCACCAGGGAGGCCCAAGAGCATGCTAATTCTGAAAAAAGTACAATCGTCAGAAAGCTACATTATTATAATTGTCCAAAGTCCTACATTAACTCTCCTCTTGCTTTGCCTATCACCTGTATCTCTAGCTCTGATTTTTTTGTCAGTTTCCAGATCCACTTCCTGCCCAGCTCTCACCTGCCACTCCCCTGGCCCCCAAACACTTCAAGGTCTACGTTTCACAGATACTTTTAAAGGTGTGAAACAGAACGAACCATTTCCTTTGGTTCCCTAAGCCACGTTTCCTCCAGATGTCTCAATCTTGGTCCGTCACTAAGCCACTCCGTTTTGAATCCACCTAGTCTTCCATTTCAAGATCATAACCAAGCCATCTCAAGCCTCCCTTTATTAATCTGTCTTCCTTTCTAACCACCAGTGATAGCACCCTCATTGAGGGCCTTCTTTCACTGCAGGGGAACTTTTGAAATGATCTACATGATGTTTGAACTTTCAAGTTCCTTCTGCAAATTAATAACCAGCTGACCCTGTTCAACCCTTTGGTAAATAGCACCTCAGAATTCAGTGGTTTTGTTAGGGGAAAGGATGTCCTGAGCTAATTTCATACAGGCTTTGTGGACTCTACCCCCACTCCAGACCAAATCCCATCACCACCAAAGAGAAGGTTGCTGGGACCTGAGGGTGGAGTTATGCAGCCAGGTTTGGCATAAAAACCAGACACGTGGGCCTTAGGGTCTCTCTCTCGCCTCTTGGCTTCACGGCTCTTGGCTCACCCCCAGCTCTGAGTGCCATTTGGGATTCCAGATGGGCAGAACGGGTAGGACGAGAACTTCTAACGGGCAGGTGGCATGGGGTGCATGCCAGTGCTGCAATCTGATAATTCTATTGTTAGGGGGAAATGATGTCCTGAGTTAATCCCAGCGCCATTTTGGGATTCCTGATCGGCGGATTGGGTAAGACTCATTTAAAACTTTGTCTCCCACTTTTCTCCCAGAGCTGTACATTTCCTCATTTCCCCTTCCCTTGTAAATAAACCTTTTATTAACCTTTCACGTGTGCCTGCAGTAGAGCATTGATAAGTCCTTTTAAGCGCGCAGGTGAGGACCCACAGTCTGGCACCCCGTTTTGTATCGGGGTTGCTCTACAACACTATGACAAGAAGAGATTGAAGACTGCCTTCTAGTTCCTTCTCTGGGACATGGAGTTGTTGTAGAGCAACCCCGATACAAAACGGGGTGCCTGACTGTGGGTCCTCACCCGCGCGCTTAAAAAGGACTTATTAATGCTCTACTGCAGGCACACGTGAAAGGTTAATAAAAGGTTTATTTACAAAGGGAAGGGGAAATGAGGAAATGTACAGCTCTGGGAGAAAAGTGGGAGACAAAGTTTTAAATGAGTCCTACCCGATCCGCCGATTAGGAATCCCAAAATGGCACTCTGAGAGCTGGCCGCCAGCCAGGAGCCGTGAAGCCAGGAGGCGAGTGATCGCGAGCCAGAGAGAGCCCAAGGCCCACGTGTTTGGTTTTTTATATCCAACCTGGCTGCCCAACTCCACCCTCAGGTCCCAGCCACCCTCCCTTGGTGGTGACGGAATTTGTCTTTCCCAGAGTCTTGATGGCTTTAGTCTGGAGTGGGGGTGGAGTCCACAAAGCCTGTATGGGATTAACTCAGGACATCACTTCCCCCTAACAGAGTCACTAATACCTGCTTTATAAGTCAGAGGAAGAGGGCCTTCCTGGTGGCACAAGGGGTTAAGCAACGCACTATGAAGCAATCTGCAGCCTCTGCAGCATGAGTTCAATCCCTGGCTGGCCAGGAAGCAACCCACATGGCACAGCAGACCTCTCCTGTCTCTCCACTGCTCCCCTCAGCAGTGTATTTCAGTTGATCTGCCTGTTCTGCTCCCCACTCTGTTTCTGGTGAATCCTCTCACACCCCCACACCTCTGGCCTGTACCCCAGTTCTTGTATGCATAAAGGTCAAAATGGCCCGGCCAGTTAGGTACAGAAGCCCAACCCCGCCCATCTATGACAAGGGATCCCAGAAGCTGATCAGTGGAATGCCTTCTTGATAAGATTAAAACCAGGGTGGGGGGGATTTAGGGTGTGATCTCAATGACAATACTAAGTCATCAAGTAGATAAGTGGCTGGAGGGCAGACTCAAACAATCCCCAATCTTCTACACCCTTCCCCTTTCTTTAATCTCCCCCTTAATTTCCTTTTGCTCCTCCCCCTTACAACAGATGATCTTGCTCTTCAGCAGCATCCTGCACTGTGTAAGCTGCTCCATGACTCCTGTTTCTTTGTCAGTGTGGTGTTGCCCGATGCAACACTTTGCTTCTCCCCTTAAACTCCCTGTCATCTCTCCCTCCTCTGAACCCAGAGACTGTGGACCCCTTAAGACTTGTACTAGTTCTCGGGCCTCCCCTGGTGGCGCAGCAGTTGAGCGCTGGACTGCGAGGCTGCCCGCAGCCTCTACAGCACTGGTTCGTTCTCCGGCCGCTGGCAAGGGTCCCACAAAAAAAAAAAAAAAAAAAAAAAAAAAAAGACTTGTACTAGTTCTCAAGAGATGAGGTGAGCTGGATATTGTTCTAACCTCACCACTAAAAGATTAACTTCTTATAGTGGTGTCAAGGGTCTTTATTTTATCTGCCATAGCATTCAGTGCCCCTGTAGGTGCTGTAATAAGAGCTAACATTTAATGACTGCCAACTTTATGCCAGGCCCTATTTTCAGTGCCTCACATGTACATATGAGTCCTTTCATCTTCACAGTATGATGTCGATACTGTTATTCTCTTCCTCGATCACCTTCTATCACTTTCCTGCTGAGTGACTGGCCAATCTTCACATCAAAAGACTAAACTTTTTAGAATGGTTGTGAGAATTAAATGAGAGGACCCAGATAGGAAGCCAAGAACATACCTATCACACATTATGCGGTCAATAAATACATGTCCGGGTATTAAACTAAAGAGTGAAACTGTGAAACTCAGGGGCTTTATTTGTCTTAGCTATTAACCAACAATTATAAAACAGTATTAAATAGTAACCATAAAAAAGTCTTCATTTCTTTGTGACAATATGTTAACATGGCTTTCCCAATTCTCTCTTTTTTTAAGAGATTTATTTTTATTTATTTATGCATACAAGAGCTGGGTGTCGGCCAGAGGTGTGCGTGGGGTGACTCGCTTTCTTTTGCTAATTCTCTTAATACCTCAAGGCTATTAAACAGTCAACTTAATTATCTCAGACAAAGAGTTCTGCCTGCAGGCATCTGACTGGAGCAGCAGCAGATGCGCCTCTGATTCATTAAATTAATGCCAGGAAACATAAAAAGGCAACAGCTAGCAACGGAGGCTCCTAACGCAGCTTACTGACAGCAGGACGCGGCCTCCACCTGTGCGAGGGTTCAGCAAACCAGGAGGAAGGTCGTGCGGCGAGCAAGCGCGCCGCAAAGCTGCACCAGGGCTGCTGCACAGCCGACGCCCGGCGTGGGTGCACGGCGCGGGCCGACAGGTGGCCGCGTCCAGAGCAGGCTGAGTTCAAGGCCCGTCCACGGCGGACGCTCCGCCCGCGGCCGCGCGCGACGGGGCAGAGGGAGCCGCTCGCTGACCCCGAGGCCCCCGACCCCGAGGCCCCCGACCCCGAGGCCCGCCCCAGCCGCGCAGCAGGGCGGGGGGCGCCGCGGGAACGGGGCGGCCCGCGGCTCAGCCCCTGGAGCGGCAGGTGCAGGGCCCCGCGAAGGCGACCCGGGCCAGCCCCCGGGAAGGTGACCCTCGGCTCCCGCGCCCTCGCGGCCCGCCCGGGACACCCCGAGGTCGCGGGGCCGCGGCCGCGGCGGCCGGGCCGAGGGCGGGGCGGGAACCCCGGTCCCGTTAGCAGACGCCGAGGGCGCCCGGGCCGGAGGCCGCCCCGCGAGCGCACTCACCCGCGCGCCGCCGCGCAGGAGCCGCCCCGCCACAGCCGCCGTCATGGCCGCCATCGCCGCCGCCGCCGGCCCCGAGTCCGGTCCCGCCGGCCCCGCGCAGTCCCGCTCGCAGGCCCGGGCCCGCCGCCAGCGCCGCGACCCAGGGAGGGCCCGGGGGCGGGCACGCCGGGCCGCGCCCCCGCCGCGCCCCCGCCACGCCCCCGCCGCGCCCCCGCCACGCCCCCCACGCCCGTCGCCCCGCCCCGGGCTACGGAGCCGCAGGAGAGACAAACCGCCCCCGCTCCGCGCCCCCCGCCCTGCTCGCGCGAGACTTGGGCGGGCGGCGGGGCGGGAAGGGAGCCCGAGACACAACAAACATGGCGGCGGCGGCGACGGCGGCGGCGGGGGCCTTCAGCGAGGCGGGGGGCGCTCCTCGGTGCGGCTGTCGGGCGGTGAGTAGCAGCCGCCGGCTCGGACGGCGAGGGCGCGGCTGGGCGCGGGGCCGAGCGGGGGCGGGCTCTCCGCGGCCGGCACACCCGCCCGGGCTCGGCCGCGCGGGGAGGGTCGGGCGTGGCCGGTCGCCGCCGGGTCGCACCCGGGACCTCCCGGCCGCGCGGGGCGGGTGGGTCCGGGGCGCGGCCCGAGGGGGAGGCGGGCGGCGGCGCCGGAGCAGGGCCCGGCAGCCGGGCAGGGCGCGGCCCGCTCTGACAGGTGGTCGTGGGGGCCCCGGGCTGCGGCGCGGGCGCGGGGCTGGGCCCGCCGAGGAGGTCCCCGGGGCCGGGGGTCGCGCCGGCCGGGGCGAGGACCTTTAAAAACGCGCCTTTTCCCCCAAAGGCCCTGCCCGGGCCCATTCTGCGCCCTGCGCGGTCTGACCTGGGGGACAGTTGCGTCCTGGGGAGGACTTTGCAGGCAAGAGCTACTTCGGGTGAGGGCAGGTCGGCGCGTTCATCCAGGGGCTGGCCTGCGAGCAGCCGGGGCTGCCCTTTGCGAGGCGCTTGGCTATTGCATAAATCTGAATGGAGGGGAAACCGGCCCCTGCTGCCTGCCACGAACCATTGGACCCATTTAAGGTCCCGCTGAACGTGCGGGTCAGAACCGGAAAGGGGAGCGGCAGGCGGGAGAAGAAGTAAGTGAAGGCGCCTGCAATTGTGAAATCTAAGGAAATTCCGTTTAGGAGAAATTGAACTTCTTTAAAACAACTTTTCAAACTTCTAGACTACGAATTCTTAAATTCCATTTAATACTGACGTTTGTCATGCCTTCGGCGTGGCTGGAGATTAGTGTGTTCTTGAGGATTCGTTACATACAGCCCATTGAGATGTGTGGTGTTCTTGCCCCTAGAGGTCCGAAGTGTGCCCCGGAAAGCCCTAAGCGTTGTGGGTTGCTGTCTAGAGTATAATACAGATGGGACTCAGATGGGCCCTTATTGGGTGTGCAGGTTGGGTTTTAATTTTATTTTTAACCCTTTCCTGTACATGTTTCCCAACAGGGATGAGTTTGACCCTCTTAGAAGTGTACCGTGAACAAAAGGAATTACCAAGTTAAATAAACACAGTAAACATTTTGCCAAAAATGAAATCTTAAAAATCCACTATTAAAAAAAACTAAACTTAGGTCGTGGTGTTCTCTGGTGATTCTTTGGTGCTTTTACCTGTTGCTTAGTTCTTTGATTATGTTTGCTTAGTTCTCCTTTCTGTTGATGGTAAAATTGGCACATTATTTTATCAACTTATTAAACCTCTGGATGCTGTTACGTTTTTGTCATGCAGATTTTGATTTGTGGTGTGCTTTTTCTTTGCAGACCTCTGTATGGCTTTTCAGTCTTAGTTGAAATTCCCTCCATGGCCTTTTGGAGTCCCTTGGTGTGTCTCCAGAGTAAATTTCGATTACTCTACATTTCATCAATGTTGGAGTGGCAAGAAAAAGAAGGAAGTGATTTGGGGTGAAAAGGTTAGATTGTATAATTCTTTTAGATTTCTTCCATTCTGTGTGTATTTATGCTTTCTGATTTGCCAAAGCCTCATAATGTCTTCTTTTGCTTCAAAGAATTTGTTTTTCGATAGTTCTAATTCTCTTTGAAGGTTTGTTTTTGTCTATACAAAGCAAGTCATTTATCAGACTTCTCCACTGATGTGTATTCTATAACAGAATAACTATTTAAGTGATTGTAATTATTAGACGATAGAAGTAAACACATTTGTTGAACTCTAGTCACTTTACCTTAGGTCTGCCTAACCTCCCAGTTGAGTCACTAAGAATGTAATTATTCTTGATAGGGAGGGCTTCCAGTTCAACGTTGTCCTGATTGTAAATATATGTGATGGTAGTGGAAGGCAATGCAGGGTTTAATTTCTTCTCTTCTAATAAATGCACTGCGTGGATGTGAATATTGGGTGTTTACTGTTAAATTTTCTTTATCTGGCTCCTTGGTCATTGGTGAATGTGAAGACTGGCTGGCTTTACCTTCTGCAGCAGATTCTTGCACACAGATTGGAGCCTGTGAAGATGACTTTGCTCCCTGAGGGGGTGGGGAGGTGTCTCAGGGGCGGAGGTTCTAGAAAACTTTACAATGTGTGCACAATATGTTAACTACAAGCCATGGAATACCATACTAGATGGAGCTTAACTTTAATCTGAGTAATAACAGGAAGGACTCTAAAATATGGGAATGAGCCTTTTTGTTTAACATCGATATCATTTTGCAGGAAGAATACATCAGACTTGGAATATACCACCCAAATGTACAATAAACTTAGAAAACTCTTAGCTATATTTCATATCTGATGGTACGATTTTATACACTGAAATTCTGTGTAAATAATTTTTGGCTAACAGGCTCCAAAGTATTGAATTCATGGTTAGTAGAAAAGATACCATCAATAAAATTAGTTTGCTGATTTCCTAAGTAGATTTTTATGGGTTTTTTTCAGCAAAGGTTTTTAAACTTATCAGTGTCTTAGAGACATCTGCCGATATCACTTAATTTGTGGCATCCTAAACTTACAGTTGTGAAACTGACGATTATTTTATTAAAGAGCAAAAACCACAAAGATAATTGGGATATACAACTTTTATTTTCATTTGCTATCAGGAAGTATTATGTAGTTTCAGAATTAATGTTCTTTTTCTACTCTTTCTTAGAAATACTGACTTGAGTTGGAGAAAGCTGAGTTTTGAACCAACTACTCAGATTTTGGGCATCTTTCATTAAGACTTGTCTGACCCATAAAGTAGATCTTAGTGCCTGAGAGAGAAAGGGACGGAGATTGAGAAACAGATAGGGGACAGACAGACACTGTGTGTGTGTGTGTGTGTGTGTGTGTGTGTGTGTGTGTGTGTGTGTGTGTGTGTGTGTAAGACATCGTTAAGTCAATGGGTAGATGAATGCTGATGGTTGGCCTGACATCTTGAGTCATTACAGAATGTCTATGGTTTTGAAACATGTCACTATATTTAAAACTAAGGTAAGGATAGTTTTCTTTCATGTATGCAATACTACCTTCTCTTTTTTCATTAGCATCCTGTTTTTGTTTTTAGTTCGTCATGCATAATGATCGAACAAAAACCACACTTTATGGCAGGGAACACAGTGGCCTTACCAATGTGACAGTGTGCTAATGTTAGGGGGAAAGGATGTCCTGAGCTAATTCCATACAGGCTTTGTGGACTTACCCCCACTCCAGGCCAAAGCCATCAGAACACTGAGAAAGACAAATACCGTCACCACCAAAGGGAAGGTGGCTGGGACCTGAGGGTGGAGTTAAGCAGCCAGGTTTGGTATAAAACCAGACACGTGGACCTTGGGGGGTTCCCTTTTGGCTCTTCGCCAGCTCATGCTCTAGGGTTTCCAGGTCAGTGGATCAGGTAGGACGCATTAAAGACTTTATTTCCCTATTTTCTCCCTGAATTGTACATTTCCTCATTTCCACATCCCTTGTAAATAAACCTTTTATTAACCTTTTGTGTGTGCCTGCAGTGGAGTATTAATAAGTCCCTTTTAAGCACGTAGGTGAGGACCCACAGCCAGGCAACCCGTTTTATATCGGGGCTGCCCTGTAACACTAATACTCAGGACTGTCAAATGCCAGGTATCTTCTGTAGTTGAGCTCATTTATGTTGTTAAAACTTGAGATGCAGATATTAAAAATACTGTTTTCTTCTGCTTGCTTCCTGGCAGTCTTGTGCCTTTTTTTTTTTTTTTTGTCACATGTGATGCCATGTTATTCTCCTTAGGTGGGGTTTCGGGAGATTTATCTTGCTTACTGAAGCCTATCAAAGTATTTTTAGTGGCCACTTTAGTTTTAATGTGAGCTGATAGGCAGAAAGTGATGCAAAGTTACCATGTAAATACTGGGATTTCTTTCTTAATTTGAACTTTAATAATTAGTCTGCAATCTGCAGGGCCTTAATAGCTTTTTACAATTAAAAAAAAAATACTTCCTACATATTTTTTGGTCCTTTATCTCCTGATCCCCTACTTTTTTTGTGTGTAAGGTTTCTGCATCCAGTACCATTTTAAAATGCTAAGTTGGCTAAGGAGGCATCCTTGTCTTTTTGATTAGCCTACAATCTCATGGAAATAGAGCTGAATTTTCTCTATTGTGATGAAGATTTTTTGACATTCCTTTCTCAACTTGAAGTTAAAACATTCTAGTTTGAATAAATGATCACTCTTATTTTCTTGCACCTCATGTTGCTGTTGATACTCCCCTGTCAAGTCAGATTGTTTTTCTCATGAGTGCAGCCTGCCTTTCCTCTCTAGAAAATTTATAGTACATGCTGAGGTTTTTCAGACATCACAGTATGTCTGTGTTGGTTTATTGTGTATTCTATTTTGCAACAAATGATACCTTTCAATCTGAGTTATCTTTAGTTCTGGAAATTTCTTTACAATTTTTTAAAAAATATTTCTTTTTCTTTCTCCAACTTAGTTTCTACCTCTATTTGCTATATTTCTTGAATTTTTTTGTACAGTTTTACATTGATCTCCACCCCTGTGTAATTTTAGTTGTTTTTTTCTTTTAGTTTTATTGAGATATGATCTTACTACTGATTATCCTTAATCTCATTCTTATCTTTTTCATCAGAATTGACTAACATTTCCCCCCAATCAAAGGGCAAATATTAAAGGAGAAATAACTAGCAGAATTCACTATCTTCACAAAACAAGTAGTAATTCAGTGAGTGGGGAAAATAGAAAACCAGTTCAAATAAACATAGTAAGACTGGAAGAAGTAAAATCGTTTTTGGTGTTGTTGGGGTTCAGAGAGTGGGGTACGTGGGTTCACTCTGGGAAAGGTTCCACCAGAGCTCCCCTTTCACTAGCACCGACGAGTTTCCCAGGCGAGTTTCTCCATGACACAGACTTTATATCCAAAGGGCAGGTTTATTATAAAAGGGAGAGAAGAATAAAGGACACTTGCATAGACACAAATGGGCAGAAAGTGTTAGGGGAAAGGCTGTCCTAAAGCTAATTCCATACAGGCTTTGTGGACTCCACCCCCACCCAGACCAAAGCCAAAGACACTGGGAACTCCAAATCCCATCCCCACCAAAGGGAAGGTGGCTGGGACCTGAGGGTGGGGTTAAGCAGCCAGGTTTGGTATAAAGCCAGACACGTGGGCTTTGGGGGATTCCCTTTTTGGCTCCCCGCCAGCTCGCAGCGTCTGCCAGCTCAGACAGTGCCTTTGGGTTTCCAGGTCGGCGGATTGGGTAGGACGCATTAAAGACTTTATTTCCCTATTTTCTCCCTGAGTTGTACGTTTCCTCAATTCCTCTTCCCTTGTAAATAAACCTTTTATGAACCTTTTGTGTGTGCCTGTAGTGGAGTATTAATAAATCCCTTTTAAGCGCGTGGGTGAGGACCCACAGCCAGGCAACCTGTTTTATATAGGGGCTGCTCTGTAACAAAAGGGCTGCCCCGAAAGGGACAGGTTTGCCAAGAGAGAGGCCTGCATGGTCACAGGCAGGCAGCCTTGAGGAGAGCTGCCTCTGCTGAGGGGGTCAGTGAAGAGAAGCCCGGCATGGAACAGGTCACGGGTAGGCAGGGAGGCTGTTGCCCTGTGCCAGGGCAGAGACTGCCCTGATAGAGTCTTCTCTTTAGGAGGGGCTCACTCCTTCGAGGAGTGGTTTGTTTGCTGTTGATTTTGGGTAACTATGTAGAATTTGAAAGGTGCCGGAGAATCTACAGTGGTCCTCAATCTTCATATCTTTACCTCTGGTCTGCACCCTAAGACACTAAGAGCAATGTGACACTTTGCTTGGGTCTGTGCCTTGGCACCTAAGGATTTTTAGTTCCTATAGCTGGGGCTGTTACAGGGCAACCCCAATGTGGAATGGGGTTGGCCTGACTGTGGGTCCTCACCCGCATGCTTAAAAGGGACTTATAATGAGACAACCGCAGGTCCACACAAAAAGGGTAGTAAAGGGTTTGTTTGCTAAAAGGGGAAATAAAGAAATGAATAACTCAGGGAGAAAGAGAGATAAATTGGTGAATGCATTCTGTCAGTTCCACTGATGTGGCACGAATAAATAAACTCTTTATTACCCTTTTTTGTGTGTGTACACCTGTGGTTGAGTCTCATTATAAGTCCCTTTTACGAGTGTGGGTGAGGACCCCCAGTCGGGCCAACCTAATTCACATTGGGGTTGCCCTGTAGAGAATGTTAATCACGTCTACCCCCACATCCAGCTTTGCTCGCACACTGTGCGAGCCAGGTTGCTGATCTGGTGTCCCCGCCTTGCCAGTTTTTCTGTCCTTATCCTCCGTCAGAAGGAGCTGAAACATACTTGTTCAGAAACCAAAGATAATCCTTAAGGTCTAGAAAGTTGGATCAGTCTGACTGAGTTGACTTGAAGAGAGGCTGAAAGAGTAATGAAAGGCAAGTATGCAAGACTGCAGACTGGGATTGTATGATAATGAAACTAGTCAATGACTACAGCACAGAGGT